GACCGGGCAGGGCAGCAGGCCCCGGCCACAGGGCTGTGCTGGGCAAAGGCGGGCGTAGCGGTGCCGGGACTCGCCCCAGAACCGCTGCTGCGGGGCCGTTCCCGCAGCGTGCACCCTTAGCAGGTTTCTGGCTGGTGGGTTCTGCGGCGGAGGGCACCGCAGCTGGCGGGACGTTTTCTGGGGACTACAGACCTTCCTTGCATACGTGAAACGTAAATAAAACTGGGAAACGGCGACGTGCTTCTTCACAGTAACTGCATAAAAATTGAACTCAGTGAAAAATCAAATGGTGCACACAAGGTACTTAATGCGATTTGCTGCATTACCTTGCACCAAGCTCCTGCTAACACCGCTCCAAGGAAAACTTGGGGTAAACTCACTTTCAGCAGTTGCTAAATAGCTGCTTTTTTCTTCTAAAGTGAGTAGAACAGTTGAAGTTACTGCAGAACTTAGGAACTGTGCCTGCAGTGGTGAAGGAGTCTTTACAGAGCTGGAGAGATGAAGTAGGGTTTCTACCCTGTTTTTTACCAACCCAGGGAGGGTGGAGGAGCTTCACTGCTGCCAGAACTCAGGTTTGTTTAGGATCAGTTGGATCCTCGTTCTTCACCAGTGGTAAAAGTCAGACTGGTGCATCCAGGTGTCCTTCTTGGATTACATGCTTAAGAACATTTTTGTATCAGAAGCATAATTTAATTTCTTTACCACAGCATGTTTGGTGTTGGGGGGGGGAGCTGTTATTTTTCTTCCATTTGTTTACAGTAATAGTCCTTTTTCCTTTTCATTGCAAAAATTAACATTGTATTGTATTCCTGCATAACAGTGTTTCTGATTTCTCAAGATAGTGACTTCAGTGACTGCAAGGTTGTGTGTCCTGCTGTGCTTTAAATATTTTTGAAACAGCATTAAATGTTTTTTGTTAAGTAGCTGGTCACGGTTCCTGAATGAAGATAAAAATGTGCTTATCAAGGACAAAATGTAAAACCTAATGCTGTATTTATTTCGTTTAGGAGTAAAATGGTATTTTTTGCAATTACTGTCAAATACTTCTGACCAGTATGTTTGTGCATTTATTTAGTTTAAAGATAAGAGGTGTTTGCAGATGTGGGCCTTGTCCTTTGCAGTGGTTTTCAGCATCTGGACAGTATCACATGGGGAGAGTGAGCTTTTGTCCATGTAACTGTGCATAAAGATTTTTCCTTTTCTTTAGCTAGTTGGAAAACTTGCAGCCCGAGATCAAAAAACTAGCTGAGCGTCTTCGCTATGAAGTTTCTGTTCGTGGAAAGCAACTGGGTTGGTCTGAAAAGATGGCCAGGTAAGGTGACAATTGTATCCACCTTAGAAATACAGACTGTGGGATGGCAGGAGGGGAGGTCCTACAAACAGCAGTCTGACAGAAAGATTCTGCTGTTGCCCAAAGCTTAGATTTTTATGCCACTTCTGCGAGTGACTTGTGTCAGAGTAAGTTGTGAGGGAAGGGCGTGAGCAAAGGAGTGAGGCACGTTTGGAGAGAAAGGCTTCAGTTTTCCAGAGCTGCACCTAAAGAAGCCAGTTGATTGTGCACAACGCAGAGAAATGTTATTTCAGAATTTAAGGAGTTACCTGCAACAGGTACCATGAGAAGACTTTATTTTTCCCTTCTTTCTGAAAGGTTCCACTTCAAGAAAAACCTGCGGAGGATTATTACGGAGCTGTACATTCGAGACAACTGCCATCCCTTCAAAGCCACTTTACTGGTGTGGGTACAGATTCCCATGTGGGTTTGCGTGTCCCTGGCTTTGCGCAACTGCAGCATTGGTGCCACGAGCTCAGAAGGTGATTCACCAGAGCAGACACGCTCTAAGAACAGCCACTTTTCCTTCAGTTACTCTTCTTACAGGCACTTGGTTGGTTAAAGAACAAGCTTGGTTTATAAGCTGATAGAGAAACTATTCTGCTACTAAGTGTTTAGACTTGCCATAGTTTAAGTGTAGGTAAATACGTGATAAGAATTAGTTTCAAAGACTTTAGCTACCTTGTTCATGTTGTGCTAGATTAAGCCACAGCTTGTGTCTCTGAAATGCTGGGTTTTGAACCCCAAGCCCCGAATAAAGGTTGACATATGGGTGATTCCCACAGCCCTTCATACAGAGGTGGTGAGTTTGCCTTATAGCTTCCCCCCAGGGTGCGGCCGGCCTTGCAGGGGGAGCCATAAGGGAAATGAGCCCCAGGGGTCCTGCATTGAGTTGACAAAGGTCAGGGGTCTGCCTGGGGATAAAAGCTGGGACCACTTGCAGGGAGTCAGGAGTGTCTGTCTGCGAAGTGGATGCACTTCACAGAGCTTCCTGGTTGAGGATGGACCTCCGGGTTCTCCCTGGAACTGGGCCACAGTCAGCCTGGACCTTTGTAAACATGGGCTAGGAGGGTGAGAGGTGGACATGTGGCCACCTTTATCTTATGTGTTTAATTTGTTGACCTGTTTGTTTCCCATTCCATCTATGGGAAGCCTTGCTTCCTTATTTGTTCCACCTATTGTCGGTCAGGTAATATTGTTTGGATTGTTGGGGGTAATGTTGATTGCATGTGAACAAATTGACTTGTTTGTACCCCAGTGACTGTTCATGGAATGACTTTTCTATATTCAATGCAGACCACTTACTGGTTTGTCTTTCTGCTGGCTGTGTTATTTGTGTTAGGCCTAGTCATTGGCAAAGCAGGCTCACACCATTTTTTGCCTGTCTTGATAGCAAAATGCCTTGATGTGTGAAGTTAGACCAAAGTTTTCTGCATTGATGCTGTTTATCATGTAGATAAAATGCACCTAGGAACTTCGATGATCTGGCTGTAATCCATGCAGTGCTTCTGACACACCTGAGGTAGCAAATTGTACTTAATTCCATATTTTCTTTAAACTCTCCTTGTAGTTCAAGAACAGTTTTCGGCGGGCGGAGCTTTGTGGTTTACAGACCTCACAGCACCAGATTCTACCTGGATTTTGCCAGTTTCACTCGGGCTCGTGAATTTGCTGATAGTGGAGGTACGTTGGTGCAATAAAGTGGGTGATTGGGAAACGATAACTGGTGTTATTATAACTGTAAGACAACATTTCCAAATTCTAAAGCATGGTAACAGAAGAGCAGTCACAGATAGTCACTGTTGTAAATGCATTGGGCAGAACTGAAAAAAATATTGTTCTGTGCTGCTGAATGTGTGTCTTCAAACAAATTCTGAGGTGATGCATTCCAGATACTTTATTTTGAACTTCAGTGAAACTCAGTTTTGACTTGGAAGTTTCTCTTAGAATGATGTTCTCATGAGCTTCCTGGGTGTTAAGCATCCAAAAATACATGTGGGGTTTTTTCATTTGTTTAACCCTTCATTATTTATTACTACCTTGTGGTGAAAACTAACGATATTTTATGTTCTTAATAAATTGAAAAAATGTAGAACTTCTGAAGATTGCTGAGGAGATTAATCAACAGATATAAAAAAGAAAGGAAGTCTTAATTTTGCATTTCTGTGGTAGTTTAATGGAAATGTTTTTCTTGATTTTTGCATTAGGTGTTCTCATCAAACTCAAACCCTCTGGCTTTTGCTCTAACTTCATCTTCTTCTGTAGTCACGGGAAACCCCACTGTTGCCTTTTTTTCTCATTTCAGTCTTTTCAGAAAGAACTTGTTTATTACCATAGTTTTCTCCCCTTTCAGATCTTTGCTTCACAAAAAAAGGAAATCTCCAGGCTCCAGAAGCTTTCTACGAACTTCTTTCGGGTGGTCTCAGTAGTGATGATCCCTGTTGCTGCAACAGTCCCGTCTGTAAGTAGCGTCTTAATGATGCCTCCATTAACCTGCAGCTCTGGTTTGTTACTAGTGCCTAAAGAGCACTAATGAAATTTCCTGGCATATTTAACAGGCTGTACCTTCTGTAACAGTGTGTCCTCAAACAAATAAGGTGTTTTGTCCATGTATACATATGGATTCTTAAAGTATTTCAAATATTTTTGTTCAACAGGAAAGAATCTGCAAACGTACTGCTTCTAAACATTATTTTAGGTCTTGGAAGGACATTCAGTGTGGGTTAGCACCCTTTTTGTGATCTAAAAATGAGAGGAAGACTTTATATAAGGACATAGAGATAAAGGTTTCCAAAGTGTTTTCTTACTGTGAGTGGCAAACAATGTAGTTCTTAGACAAGGAAATTTCCCACGATCTTCTCAAAAAATTTCTCATTTCTACCAGGTGCTCTCCTTCTGAATATTTTTGCAGTGGTTAGCAACAATAAAGCTTCTCATTGTTAGGCACATCAGCTTAGAGCCTGAAATACAGAAGTTTAACATGAATTAATTTCTGAACTGTTGTCAGACTTCAGTGTAGATTACTTTTTCCTCCTGGAGAGATGAGTAAGAGTGCCAAATGCACTTGAAATGGAAGCCATTATTGTTGTTGAGAGGAGTGGCTTTAGGTCAGTTGTTTTTCTCACTACCTGGAAGCAGCCAGTGGTTGTGTTGGTGAAGAGCTCCCTGAGTGGGCCGTGCTGCCGCCACAGGCCGGGACACTGACCTCGCCGCTTGTCTCGTTGCAGTCCATGGCATTGTACTGGCTGTCCTCCAGCCTCGTGGGGCTCTCACACAACCTGTTGCTGCGTTCCCCGACCTTCCGTCGGCTGTGCTGCATTCCCAGGACCAAGTCTGACTCGGACACTCCTTACAGGGATGTTGTGTCTGCCCTGGCCACCAAATACGGGTTGAAGAAGTGATGTCGTTGGAGCTGTCAGAAGAGCTGACCCACAAACCTTGCATGGGCAGTTTAAGCAGTGCTGTTTCCTCGAGATGCACTTACTATAAAATCCTGCAGCTGGAATTACATTTATTTTCCAAATAAAGCATTTCCTGGTCATAAAGAACGATCCTTCAGCGCAATGTGTGTTTATTGGGAAATTTTGTTTTGAGGGTGGTCATTCTGCAGTCAGAATAGTCCAGCAATAGAAGTTTGTCTCCTGAATAATCATAGGGATTGACTTCCTGCAACTGCAGAGTAAACTAGGTCATTGTCAGTCTTCTGTGCATTGGATTTGAAGCCAGGCGGACAAGTTTCTTGAGTTGTTTCTGGTCCTGATCTCCTTTTCCATGAATACAATGGAGTAGGAGCTACTTACTGTATGCAATAAAGGCAAGTAGCACCTTGAAAAAGAACAAATGATGAAACTAAACAGCTGTATATCAAATCTCTTTTTTTAAGGTAAGTCCTAAAAGTAAAGTGCAAAGAATGCCTTAAGGGACCTCTATATTATTTTATTATATTTTTTCATGCAAACATCAAAGTGCACGTGGGTATTTCTGTAAGGGTGTTCAGATTGACACCTTGCCTTCCTCCGCGTGCCTCTGGAGTCAGCAGGCACACGTTGCTCTGAAACTCTGCACACAAATGTCCTGTCACACCGAGGTCTGCAAGCTGGGACTTACAGCAGGTCATCTTTTTTTTTTTTGTAGAGAAGCAGAAATGAGGATAGCGGGCAAAGCATTGCATGTATTTTTTCCTCTCAGACAGGTTTTCCAAGTGCAGAATGTTTTTTGATAACAAAATGGAAGTGTCTTGAAAAAGCGTGTAACCAGTTCTTTCTGGGTGATAGCCTGTTATTAAGTCATGTGCTGTAGAGCTCTCCTTGGCTTGGACATTTCTTCACTAATTCTACAGACATCCCCTTCCAGCTTTACTAAAATCAAATAAATTATACATAAATTATCAAACCCCACTAGTAACAAAAGATATGAAATGTTGGAAAGGAGGAGGGAGTTTCCATTTTAACTTCCCTCTACTTCTTGTCTTTCTTATGGTACTTCAAGCTGAGTTCATCTGTGGTGTCACACTGAAGATGCAACTGCCAGGATAACCTTGTAACATCATTTACAGGGTGCTCACAGGAAGCACTGTTGTCTGCCAGAGAATTTGGGCCTTTGCCAGTCCACCTCCTTGTTCTTTATGGTTGTTTTAGCAGAGAATCCAAATGCTTAATTTGAAGCTGAGTTGCTGAGGGTGGATTCCTTGAAGCACAAGAATTTTTTTTCAAGGTCTAAGTGTCATTTTTGGCACTTGAGCTCTGTGGTTTCTGAAGAGACAAAAAGGGCTTGAGTATTTTTGAATATCCTGCTGTACACATGGGGGTGCTCAAGCTATAGTTCACGTTGTTAGCTCTTGGCTTCTAAAATCTAGGGCAAGCAGGCAGGAAACTTTTTTCTTCTTCTGTCTTTCATCTCGATGCCATTTCAGAACTTAATCGGCCCATCCCTTTGCAGTGTACACCACTTTTCCACCTCATGGCCATGTCCCTTTGAAGTGACCCAGTGTTTGACACCGCTGATCTTCAAGCTAACAAGAGGAACTCGCTAGCTGCTCCCTCTTTGTGGGCTGAGGAGGCCAAATGGAAGCGGGCTGGTGTCAGGACTATCCCTTGTAGCACCTGGTTGTCTTTGCAAAGCCATCGGTTTATGCAGCCCTGTGTCCAGCTGGCCGGGGAGCTCTGCTCCTGGTTTCCACTTGTTATTGTTGGAGTTACCTCTATTTAATTGACCTGACTTATTTCTAATGGTAAATAAAATAGTCCTTGTTCCTTTGAAGCACAGCACAGCGCTGAGGGAAACAGCAGCTGCTGCCCTCCTAAGTGAGGGCTGCTGCTTTGTTTTTACAGTTTGAGGGATCACAAGTTAGTATTACGTTAAAAAAGAGCAGAACAGGCCAGTGAGGAATTTGCAGCACACAACACACAAAAACCAGCAGAGAGAGAATGTCCTTAATTTTTTTTTTTATTATTCTTTTATTTTTCCTCTTCTTTTTGTAGATCTAGGACTAGTGTAGGCCATGATTTCAGGCATTGCTGGATCTCTCAGCGGTACGAGCGTGGTCTAGATCAAGCTGGACTGTGCAGTTGCCTCAGTGTCAAATTGGAGAACACAGTTGGGGAGTTGCTGCTGACGTCGTGGCTTTTCCTTGCCAGTGTCATGCCAGCTGTGGGAGGATGGGTCATACTAGATCTAGCCAAAAGTTCTTGTCTCAGAAAGAAGCTGCAAAGGCTGCAAGCCTGAAGCTACCACGGTAACCTGCCAGAGATTTTTGAAGGCATGTAAATGGGTGAAGTGACCTCATAAGAAGGGATGTGCTTTGAGTCCATGTCACTTTGAGGGTTTTGATCTATTTTTGGTGCACACAGTTACTTTCTGGTGTTACAGGCTTTGGAGTTGGGTAGGGGTTTTTCAAGAAGCACGTGCAAGTTTGGTGCCTGACTTCAGTGCAGGCTGAGATGAGCACAGGCATCCATATGCTCCTTTATTTAAAGAAATGAGCTTTGGAGACTCATTTGTCCAACTGCAGGTTTGTAACTTGAATGCCCTGATTAACTTCACAGTCAGAGTATGAGTCAATAACGTTTTTTAACCCGCTTTATTTAATATAATCTCCTACTTTAGTTTCAATAAAAGAAGGTAAGAATCCTTCAGGAGGAACTGCTGATGCTTTATTTCTCCCAGAGGGCTCTTTTTTTCCCACTTTGACTGGGGAAACAAGAGTCCCCTCTGGGTCTCCCTGCAAGGTGACCAATAAGAATTTTTTGCATTGCTTAGAGTCAGGTGCTTAAACTTGGTAAGCATGCTTTCCCTGACTGTCCTTCCCAACTACAGTTACTTTGGCACATTCATCCACATTTGGCATGCTGTGATTTTGCCTAGGAGTAGATAAAATGATAATAAAAATTATGTCTTTCCTTTTACTTAGTTCTGTGGTAGAAAATAGCAAAGAAATCTGCAGTAATATTGACTATGATGAATTAGAACTGGAATTTAAGGCTATGATTTCCCTCTAATTTCATACTTGACCTGGTGAATTAAGACCATGATCTTGTATTTGGGGCTCTTTGTATTTCAAATAAATTCTGTGTCTATAGGAACTGTTTGAGGAAGAGTTTTAAATTAAAAGCTGGCAAAGAAGAACTTTTTAGAAGTTTCATATTGATGTAGCCTAAAGCCTTGTCTTTTATCTTGTGGGTACAGCTAAAGGGATTTGCCTTTCCGAGCATTCATCTTCTTTGTGCATTTCGTTCAAGTCTAGCTGGCCAGTCCACCTAATGAAACAAGATTGGGGTTTTTTTAATGTTCTATAAAACAGAGGAACTAAAAACTCCAGACAACTTCTGAAAATGTTTTGATTTATGCCTAAACTGGACACAATGAAAGCTTAAGATTCATTCCTGGGTCAGTTTCCAATGAAATGTGCCTTAGAACACCTTCCTTCCCAGGAGTTCCATGTCGTACCTTTTTGTAGATTTTTTTTCAGAAAGCCAGCCTTCTTTAAACACTCTTTTTTTATAACATCTCTTGCAAGTCAGTGTTCAAGCCAGGAGTTGGGATTTTTACCTTTTCTGTAGATTTCTTTGTGGTTCACGTTATTTGCTATTTAAAATGCTACCTACTTTTGACGCTCAGCTTTTTGAAAATATTCCTGTTGCTTATTTCTAGGAATTTCTGTAGTACATTGCCAGAATTACAGTTAAGTCACTAGGTCCTTGCTGACCTTTGTAACTGGATAAGATCCAACTTTGTCAAAAGGAAAATGGTGAGGGACTGGAACTAGGTCCGTGGATTCCAAAGTGGTGCCATTTGCAAGGAAACACTGATTTCCATCTGGGATCACTGTGCACTTTGTGGGCTTTATTTAGTTACTGCTTGGATAAGTGCTTGCTCCAGAGAGTGCAGCTAATAATTCTCTTAGTTTACAAAGTAAACAACCTCAGATTAATTGGGTAATAAAAGCTTTGCTATGCTTGCATTTTTCCACTTTATATGCTTTTAGTGGGAGGCTGAGAGATAAGCTTTGTTTGGGGATACGGAGGAGAACGGTTTCAGCAATAAGCCCCCAGAGACTGACTGGACACGTGACTGCAATTTTTTACAAATACATGGTGACCTTTTTCCCTTCAGATGCAGATGATCTAGAATAAACTGATTGGAGAAATCGGGAGAAAACAGGAGCAGCGATGCCTTGAAGTGCTCTAATGCAGCACACCTGATTATTCTTAGCTAGTCCTGCAGGTCCTTCTGTTTTTCTTTGCTATGGCGTGGCCACATTGACATGAGCATCTCAAAAGGGAACAGAACATGGCTGTTGGTCTGTGAGAGCTTGGAGCTTTGTTGTGTTTACTTTCCCTACACAGCCAACCTGCTGAGGAATGGAACTGAAATAAGAACAGCCTGGCTCAGGAGGAAGTGCATATCACATTATTTGCTGTCACAAGCCATTTGCCGTTGTGACAATTAAAAGTTTGGACTCAAGATCTCTGTGGAAAATCAGGCTTAGGTCTGCTGAAATGCACAAGTGAGGACTTGACCACAGTATAGTCTTTTAAAAATCCTAAAGGTAGGGAAAACAAATTCTGCTATTCTGGCCAAATGATATTTAGTTCGGTGCTTTGAGCTTTTATAATATATCTTCTCTGAGCTCTGTGAAGCAAGATGATGTTCTTACAGTGTCAAATAATGCAAACCACAGGTTTGTGGCATGGGACTGAGCGAAGGAGCTGTTGCGTTACTGTGCTGGCATTATAATGGCTGGGTTTATAATGGCTTCTGACTCTCCTCTTTGCTATTTGGATAAGTATCACTATGATTTGTAGTCAAACAGCATTTTCTAGTCCTTGTTGTTGAAAGCTGTGTGGTCCACTCTCAAAAAATGACTTAGGGTTGTTTTTCTTGCTATTCACTCATTTTCTGACCTGGAAATTGGAGGCAGATTGCTGCAGGAGC